GTGGCTAAGACTATTAGTCTGACTCACCCTAAATAAGACCCACTCCCTTCTGATAAGGATAATGGTGGTCTGTTCACTTGCAGGAAATACCAGAGAGGGCAAACCCGCCCAAGGATGACCAAGGTTAGTTAGTCATTATCAGCTGTCTAGATCACGCAGACACCACTGTTTATGCCACAACCAATGAGGGCACACCCCTAGGTGATTCCCCTCCTATTGATTGTATTGCTTATGTTAATACCCCTATGTTAATACCCCTCCTGGTGAGTCAGGTTATTGTCCACTATCAGGGAACTTGCATGCTTCCCAGAATAGTAATTGTCTGTTTTATTATATGAGACATTAGAGTGATCAAACTTGTTCTAGAATGAATTGTATTGCCCCTTTCTGTGATGTATGACTCTATGATGCATGGTTAGCAATAAATAATGAGGCTCCCTGGTTTTCGGGAGGGTGGCTGGAGAAGGTGACTAAGGAGGATGAAGCAGTGGCTTCTCTGACGGCTAAGCCCCCTCCACGAGGACCATCAAGCGGGGCTGAGGTGAGCTATGCGACCATGAATTGTGTCTGACTCCATTACTTGACTCCATCCTTTAACTCTCATGCTCTCTATGACTTTACTATAATCTCTACTTATTATCGCTGTACAATTGCGCCTACCAAACCTGTGATGTTTTGTGGTGTTCCCTCTTTCCCCTTAAACCCACACCACCCTATGATATTCACGCACATGGAAGTTTGGAGCCACTGGGCCAGATCACAGACCCCAGGAGGAAGGACAGTGTTCCCTGTCACTAACCACCACCTCCCCCTCCCACCCCCACCCCATCAGCCCAGCTCCGATGCAAGGCAGGCACTATCCTCACATTTGTTCCCGTTATCCTATTATTTGGACAAAGCGATGAAACCTTGCACAATGATGCACAAAGCAGATCTCTGTTGATCTTGCTCGAAGCGCAGGGAGGAGCGGGGCTGCATCGTCAAGCCAAATCTTCTGTATTGTTCACCACACTCCAACATGCAGATCTGCAATATCTCTCCATGGGGGTCACCTAATCCTGACCCCGTAAGACCTTTGGGATTGAGGGGTGCCAGGAGTCTGGCCCAGCAGCCTCTGTCTCTGTTCTTGGGCACATTGCTTCTAGGTTAGAGAAATCTGAGACCCACCTATTCCTGGGTGCCTGGATGAAGGACGGACTTCCTCAAAGCACCATCCTTGAATGTTATGCACGGGCCTCAAACCTGTGATTCGACCCTGCGTCCAGCAAAGGTCCAGCCACCCGTGGGTGGAAATTTCAAACCTGAACCTAATTTCTGGGGTCTTCAGCCACCGCTTCTAGCTCAATTCCTGTCAATGAATTCCTCTTGCCTCTCAGGGCTGCTCTAGTGACACCCCAACACGCACGCAGGGCATACTGATGTAGATCAGACAGTCACGCTGGGCCACCTGGGTGTGAAGCTTAATCTACCACAGGGAAGCAGGGTGGCTTCAGGCAGACGCCACTTCAGGAGTGCCAAGCACAGCCTGCGTCTGTCACAGCCCTGTGAAGAGGGGTGGTGGTGAGGATTCGGGGAGCGCTGCGGCTTAGCACAGCGGCGCCCATAGTAAGGACCTGAGAAACTCTGGCGACTACAGAAGCTCCTCTATTTCTGAGTGCTCATAGCACTGTGCCAGGCAAGAGGTGGCACTGCGGCCACTCACAGCACGTCATTTTGGACTTTGGAGCAAATGGACTTGGTAGCAGCCTCTTCAAAACCCACTGTTCCACTCCTGTCCTAATAGCAAGTACCGTATACTTGTGCGTCAGCCGAGTTTTTCAGCACATTTTTTTATGCAGTAAAATTAGGTGCCTCGGCTGATTTTCGGGTCGGATTATACTTGAGTATATGCAGAATTTGTTCCAGGCATGATGGACCAGGCATGTGACAATTTAAAGATGAGGAAACTGAAAAACAAAGTTTGCCCGACTAATAAATAAGTCAGCATTTGAACCCAGGTAGCCTGGCTGCAGACTCGATGCGCATCACCGCTAGGGCATGCTGCCTCTGAAGTAGTATAGCTTAGCAACTAAGATGACTGTGATTCCTTCACCCCCTCTCCCCTCCCTTTTGCCCTCAGCCCAGATGGCCGCTCTCTCTCCTACGTCTTCAACGCCTCTACGGTCCAGGTGGGTCCAACATCCCATGAGCCAGCCCTGGTCTCTGATAACTGCCCCTCCAAACACCCTTCCTTTCTCTGTGACTGACTGGCTAGATCCAATCATACCTTGAGAGGGACACATTCTTTTTCTGTTTAATAAAGAGAGTATGTATTAAGTCTTAACTGGGACAAGGACAACTACAGAGGCATATCATCTGGATCATAAGGACCATTAGCACGAGGTCCTAATGGTATCCTAGGGTTTTCTGGGATACATAGCATTTAGAAGGACATGGGAGGCAAAGCAAAAGAAAACAAAAACCCTGTTACATGCACATGGTCAGTGGCAAAACAATATAATGTAGTCAGCGGTAAGACTCCCAGGCCTGGAGTCCTGACTGGGACACAGGTGTTGTGCTAGAGGAGTTTACAATATTGGTCCTGCAGCTTCCCCAAGGCAGTCAGGTCATGGCTCATGACCATGAGACGTATCCTAATTGCCCAATGAACAAGTGTTCATTCAGTAAATCCTTTCCTACGGAAAAATGCTCCTCCACCGCTTATGTGTCATGTCCAGGTGTTAGATTTACCTAAAGCAGGGCCGTCCGTGGCACAGATGACTACAAAGGACATTTTTCCAGGAGCCTAAATCGAGGGGGTGTTGCACTAGGCCTACAGTGCCTGCAAAGTGGTAATGCGTGTGCCCTCCACTGGACAAACTTAACCCCCGGCAGCTTCACAACCCGTAATAGCTGATAGAGCGTATGAACGCGCACCCACCATCTCCAAGGGGGACATTAGCATCATGGTCAATGTTACTCACGTGCACAGCCACACCCCTACGGTTGCTGTCGTTCGCTGACATCAAGCCTGCCTCAGATTCACGGTGACCCCTACACAATGGGATTGGATTGTCATCATCCAAAGGGTCTTCATCAGTTGATTTGGGGGCAGTAGAGCACCATGCCTTTATTCCTAGTCCATCTTAGTCTGGAAGCTCTAATGGAGCCTGTTCAGTAGCATCGCACAGGCCTCCTGACAGGCAGATGGTGGCTGTGCTTGGATGCGGTGGCTGGGGATCCCATATGGAAGGCAAGGGTTCTACCACTCAGGTCCTCGGGCCTGCTAAGGCGCCACACGTGCCAATGGGCACATCAGATTCCGAGGACGTCTGAATGACACGGATTGTTTTCTCTGTTCACTTTGGTCTTGCTTAAGTGCTTCGTGCGTGAGTGCCCCAAATGGCAGGGTGGAAGGCTGAGGAAAGTCTCCCACACCAGCCAGCTGACCTGAGCAGTAGCTCTGGTGTTGTTGCCTCCGGAGGCATGCAGTCTCCAAAGAGGCATTTCCTTGGCAGCCCTCAGTGACCAACCCGCACAAAGAAGCCCCAAGGAACAAAAAGGAATTTGTGCCTGTGAATCAGCGTCTCCACCAAAATCCACCCTTGATCACACAGCCATGTCGCCCCAGGAAACGGGCCCCCAGCCCCTCTCTGCACATCACTTCCAAAGCCAGGCCCAGTCCTCTGACGTCGCCACCACTGGCTGGCTGGCTCATGCTCAGGGGAGCCATCAGAACCGAGGCTTGGCGCATCCTCTGCCGGGGCACGTGGATCATCGCACTGGTGTTTGTGCCCCTGCATCGAACACCGTCGCATCCCTATTGCAGGTGGAACACGGGCTGGCTACCAAAGTGGAAAGGGAGAGAGGAAGTGGGGTGGACTTGAAACTCTGCTAGTCAGCACTGAGGTTTGGATTCTGTAATGACCTAGGGTGGGCTCTTGGGCATGAGAGGCAAGGTGGGTTTCCCTCTGGGTCTTTGATTCCATGCCTGGAATTTCCATCCCAGCACCTAGAGGTCTGAATTTCTCAAGAACTCCTCTCTTGAAACCTTGCGTAATTTGGGCATGTTGTGGTCACGTGGGCGTGCATGGCATCTCTGTCCGAGAATGTGCCCAGTGCTTAGTCCTTCTGGCTCGTCTGTTGGCACCTCTCCGCGGGGCACTGAAAGGTGGAGTTATCTTCAAAGAAGTCCCGGAGAGAAGGGTGGGAGCAGCCCAGGCGGCCAGTGGGGTTGTCTGAATAATAACCCCGTCTAAACCTTGAGCGGATACACGCACATCGTCCTCTACTTCAGCCGGACTTGCATCAGCCAAGGTGCCTACCAAGTGGGCTGCAACAATGGGCTCCAAGACACCTACGGGGTGAGGCTGGCACGGGAGCAGGCAGCGTTTCCTTCTGCTTTAGACATCCGGTTGCTAGGGCTCAGAGCCAACCTTATAGCATCGAATAGCACCAACCAAGTGGGCAGGCTTTCCGAGGTGACTGAATTTCCATGGCTGACACCACAAGATAACGCCAGCCAGTCTGCAGAGCCACGAGGGCCACCCCCAGCACTTTAATGAGCTCGTTCCGACCCATCCTCACCGGGTGGGGACGGTGGGGATAACGGGCATTACGATGGCTCGGTCTTGTAAAATCTCAGTGTATTTTCACATGCACATGCTACCAGCAGGCCTGTCCACAGAGCAGTGTGCACACAGCTTCAGTGGAGCCAGAGGGAACTTCCCGGGCCTCACTCCCCGGCAGCACCAGTTCTAATCCCTTTCACCTGCTACGCGCCCTTTACATTTCCCTTAGCGCTTCACGTCATCACCACGTCCTTGCCCTCAGGAGTGGGGAAATGCACGCACTCACTCACTCACTCACTCACTCACTCACTCACTCACTCACTCACTCACTCACTCACTCACTCACTCAGGCTCAGCTCCAGGTAACACTTGCTCTCTGTTCCCCAGAGCTGGTTCCCTGATTCTTAGTGGAAGCCACTGAGCTCGGAGCTCGGAGGCTGAGGGTCTTACCTCTGTCCTCTCTCGCTGGCAGGGGCAAGTCGTCACTGTCAGTCGGAAGGTTGCCGCTGCCTCGGGCCGGCTTTCCTGCGGCTCAGCTGTGTGCAGGGAGAGGCGACAGGCTGTGGCATGCACCTCAGGTTGCTGGCCCGCCTCCAGACACTGCCACCTCGCCAGCTCCCAGTCCCAGAGGGCTGAGTGGGCAGGAGGGAGGCAGGCTGGTGAGCTGAGGATGGCCGTCTTTGGGTCTATCACTGGCCCCTATTTATCTGCAGAGGGACCTGCCTCCACATCGACCCCACCCACAGGAACACACACAGAGCCCTACAGGCCCCCCACTCTGGACAGCCAATGGCGAGCGCAGAGAAGCAGAGGTGGGAGGTGGCCAGCGGGGGTGAAGCCGAGACAGTGGCAGAGAAGCAGACAGTGGCAGCAACTGCTCTGAGTGTTGCTGTAGCGTGGTTTGTCTTGGGCAAATGGCTGAGCTGAAGGGACTACTGGCCCGTCTGAGCAGAATCCTGTTTATTTTGAGGGCTCGGTTGCCAGGGAAACAGCAGGTCGTGGCTCCTCAGGAATCAGAAGGCTGCTGGATGAAAAGGAGTCCTTTTCTGTTCAGTTGTCTGGCATCCCTGCCCAGGGGTGCCGGTGTCTGTGTACAGCAGAATGTGTGTGTGTGTGTGTGTGTGCACCTATTTCCCACAGCCAAAACTTTCAAGGCATTTTGCACAGTCAGTCCATATGAGGGTTGGAGAACGTGCCTGGGCTTCCTCACCCAGGTTCCAGCCTGTCCCTGAGAGATCAGGTGACCCAGATCCAGAGCAGGGGCTTCTTCAGCGGAGCTGGGCATGCTCATGGACCAGTGACCAGAGGACAGCAGAGAGGGCGGGAGCTGCCTGTACAAATAACTCTTTGGCGAGAAGGTGGGAACGAAGTTGAACTGAAAGGATGTGGATCAGGAGGTGCCTTTGAAGAGACCAAAGGGAAAGATTATAGTTTCCTATAATTGATGGAGAGTGGCTCCTTATGCAGGCAATTGAATATAGGATGTGTGTGTGTGTGTGTGTGTGTGTGAGAATTGTGTGTAAGAGACTCAGAATGCATGTGGAAAACAATGCATAGAGGATTAGTTACATGTGAAAAATGTAAAAGAAAGTATGTATGTGTGTGTGAGTGTGAGAAAGTGAACGTCTGAGACAGAATGGTGAGAACGTGTGTGGGTATATGTAAAAGAGTATATCTATGTATGTGAGTGCACAAAAGTATGTGAGAGAGTGATGTGTAAGGAAGAGTGTGCATGCATATGGGAGAGAATGGTGTGTGAAAAACTGTGTGAGAGTGTACCGGTGGTGGGATTCAGCTGGTTCACATGGGCTCAGCAGAAACAGTATCTAATTTTTTTTTTGAGTTTGATGAGCCATTTGTTAAAAGGGCACTTGTAATCAGAGTTCTCTCTAAGATGGAAATCACAAATTTACATTCCTTACTCCTTATTGTTTTAATTTTATAACTCTTTTAACTTTCACTTATGCAAAAGCATATTCTAAATGCCTATGGTCATGTGTATAAAATCCATGTGTATAAAAATTAGATGGAACTATGCATTATTTATTGATTCATTTCAGAAAACTCATTATTCTTTTAATGAAACGCTACATTTTTATTCCCCTGTGTTTGTTATTCAGTAAACAAGCATAGGCCATCAAGAGGAAAAGTGCCAAAAGTGCCAAAGAACATAACCTATCCAGAGGTGGCACACTGACACTTGTTTCAGCTGTGTGTTATGTGCCAAATTCCCAAGAGATATTATGAGTGAATTATGCAGTTCCTGAAAATGTTCAAAGAGCTAAAAATATTGTCAGAACCATTGCTGTAAGTACAGCAGAAGCAGAAAGAGTTTTTTCAAAGATGAACATAACCTATTCAGAGAAAAGACATCACCTGTTTCTAACTTGGCAAGCACAGTGATTCTTGTCTGACTGGTCTACCTCTAGAGGAATGGGATCCCACTCCTACCATGAAAAGATGGTTGCGGATAAATCACACAGCTGGTGATGCACAGTAAGGGTGAAGAGTATTGCAAGCTAGGATGCCAATCAAGAAGCAACACGGAAATATCTACAATAACAGGTTTATTGTTTCCTATCAAGTATTATGTAATATTTTTCATTAATATTTTAAAACGTTTTCTTGTCACATAACCTAGTTTTTGCACCTCTCTTATTGTTCTTATTTAAGTATTAACTGTATGAAGTAATAAAGTGACTTTCAGTATTTTTTTAAATACTTAAAGTAATCCTTAGGGCAGTGAACCGGTGAAATTATTTGAATCCCGCCAGGTATATGTGTTATATTTGCAAGAGAGCGTGTATGTGTGTGTGTATGTATATGAGAGTGAGTTAATGTGTGTGTATAGAAGAGAGATGATGTGAGAGGGTACAATGGGGTACTGGAATTTTGCTGGGCAGAGCAGATATCTGCTACTTCTCCCCCCTCCCCAGCTAGGTGAGCATCACGAAACTCACACTGAGTTAGTGTAACTGGTAATCAAGCTTTCTACTGAGAGGGTCTGAAATGATAGCGTGACAGTGTGCAATCAAAACGGCCTGATTTGTGGCAGACCCTGGGGGACTGCTTTTGCCATCACGACAAGGCACCTGCTCACACAGCCATCTCAGTGCGCCAGTTTTTGACAAAAAGCAGCATGCCTCTCTTGCCCCACATACCTGACTCACCTGACGTCGCTCTGTGCAATTCTTTTTGTTTCTGGGAATACAAAGGGACATGAAAAGAAAACAATTTGACTACATTCAAGAGGTGAAGAAAAAAAATGAGGGAGGTGCTATCAGCCATCCAAACATGAGTTTGAAAAAT